TTGAGCAATTATGTCAAACCACATAAATAAATTCTATTTTTAAACATATGAGATAGTATATTTTGGGAGTAGTATTGAGCATCGATATTGGGGAGAGTTCAGACAACTCCCAGCCTCCATAAACCATGTAGCCATCATGGGTAGAAAAGGGTCATACTTTTTAGATGATTTCTTAGTGCTTTTTAGCATAGACTAGTGGATCCACTTAGTAGTTAGGTTCTATGCCCCTGGCAAGGTATATGACGACCCTGGCAGCGTGAGGCAAAACGTTGTATCATCACATAGCTCTTAAGTGATGGTTGTCGGTTAGAAAACCTCCCACAGAAGTATTTTGTATTCTTATATACATATATTTATTTGTATTTTCATATACAAACAGAGTTATATTGTATCTTTGCATACATACTGAGTTACTTTTGTATTTCTAAATACACAGGCTTGTTATCCATGTTTTAAAAGCTTTTTCTTTATATTGCATTCCTATTATTGCTTTATATTGAAATGAGTTAGTTGAGTTGAGTTGAGCCCATATATGTTCTTTCAGTTCCTTTCAAGCTTATGTCTTGTTTTAGAATTCCCCTTGCATGCTCGTACATTCAATGTACTGATGCCATTTGGCCTGCATCTTTGTTATGATACAGATACAGGTAACCAGGATCAACATATATCACTTCGTTGATCCAATTGAGCATTCAGAGTCTTTTGGTGAGCCTCCTTGCTTCCGGAGGATCCCTTTTATTGCTTTACTAGTTAGTTCATTAGGATGTCGTAGGTCTTGTCCCGACATCCATCTCAGTTGTTAGAGGCTTCATAGACAGTTAGTTAGTCCTTTTGTCTTTACATTGTTATTTGCTTATGTTAAGACTTGAGTGCCATTTTGGCTAAGTTGAATGTTTATCTTTAAACGTTCTAAGTTATCTTTTAAACAGTTGAGTAAAGATGCATTGAATCCTTGTATTAATGCTTTAAGTCTTCCACTGAGTAGTAAGCCAGGCCAAGGGTTCGCTTGGGGGCAACAATGATTCTCGAGTGCCAGCTATGCCCAGGTTGTAGGCTCAGGGCGTGACATTTTTAGTAGTGGATGTATTTAGAAAAAGAAAACTTATTTAATTTTCATTTAATTATAGATTTTGATTTTTTAAAATTTTTTTAAAATGAAATGTAATTTGTACAAGTAATTTGATTACTTTTTGAAAAATAATAATTCGAGTTTCACAATTGGTTTGAATAACTTTTGGGGTGAATTTCTTCTACTCATAAAACATCGATTTTTTTCAAAATAAAATATATGTTTAAACATAATTTCAGTTTACAAAAACTATTTTGAACTTTAAATACTCCTTTTTTTTTCAAGTACTTATAAAATTTATAGTCAAAATTAGCTCAATTACCTTTTCATTCTTGTTTTTTAGGAGACTAAAATATGATGACAAAGCATTTCATGCTTATCTAATGAAATATTTTAGATAAACACCTCACACTAGCTATAAAATTTCATTTTTATGTCGTAGCAGAAAAGTTGTTTATTCCATTAGTTATCATTTATCAACATGCAAAATTTGAGCTTGTAGCATCAGATTTTTTTTTTAACTTCAATTACACATGTCAATTTTTTTATTCGATATTTTTTGGCATAATACATAAATGTGCCTTTTAACTTGACCTTGTTTCATATTTATGCCCTCCAACTTTGGGTTTGCACAAGTGGACACTTGAACTTGTATAAAGGTAAACAAGTAAATACATGAATCCTACTGTAATGTCCCATTTCTAGTGAATTTGCTTTTAATTGTGAATTGACCATTTTGCCCTTCCCCTTAGCGTTTCTATGCTTAGTTTAATTTGTGTTTTGGAAATGGTTGATGTGGTCCCCAATGCGATTGAGTGTATTTTTGGTGATTTGACCTCTCTTGAATTGAGAATTCATGATAGTGTTGACTTTGGTCAACATTTTGTCCGAGCGTCGAATGGGGATTCTGTCAGTTCCATCACGTTTGGAACGTCGAGTTTGAACTAGTAAGGTGGTTGGTAAGGTTTTCGAGGCCTTAGGTTGATATTTGGACGTTTGGGGTAAGAAGTTGAGTTTTTAGCCTTAAGAGTGGTCCGGGATGGTAATTCCGCCAGTTGAATCTTTTTGGAAATCCGACAATTCCATTGAGTCCGGATTTTCGAACTTAGTGGGGTAGAATGTCCAGTTTATTCTTATCCAAATTTTCGAACAAAGCCTGAGGGTCCATTTGATGATTTGAAAGTTGGTTGTTTTTCTAGTATTTATTGACCTCACGATCGTGAAGGCTGGTTCACTTTCGCGAGGGTTGCGTTTGCGAAGGCTGGTTCACTTTCGCGAAAGGTCAAGTGGGCAAACCTTCGCGAAAGTGAAGGCCTGTTGGCATTTGGGAAACATGTTTTTTATAAAAATATTTAAGACTTGAGTTGAGCACCACAAGGTATCAGGTTTAATTTCCAGCACAAAGAAAAATTTGGTGACTTCTTCTCATCTTCTTTAACCTTGGTGGACAAAGTTACCTTATACTTATTGTTGGTGGGAGGTGACATGTATCTCGTGAAACTAGTCGAGGTGTGCCTAAGTTGGCTCGACCACTACAATTATCAAAACGTAAATAAATTTAAAAGTTTATACAATTTTCTTTATATTGTATTCTCGAGGCAAGAAAAAATCATCTTTTTTAACCAAGAAAAGTTAAACTAAATTGTTCTTGAGGCTTTGATTTAGTGGTAAAAGCATGACACATGATATGTCACTTAGGTGCTTGTCACGAGTTTAATTATAGTTGTGGAGCGATTAAATGTAGACAAGTAAATGTATTATTCACCAAGTTTCAAACCGTATATCAACTAAAAAAGATTTCTCAATTATAAAAAAAAAAAGGTCGTTCAAAATTAAAATATGCCTCCTCATTCATTCAAACAAACAAGTTTTCTAAATATTTTATAGTAACTGACTCATACATCTTCTAATTAAAATAAAAATGTTTTACTCTTGAAGCTCATGGTACCACCTTTCATAGCACGGTATTATCTTTTTGTTACGTAGGTACGCTTTTTTTTTCAAATAAACTTTTAGTTGAGAGCACAATTTCTCTTTTAATAATAGCAACAATAATAACCTTTCTTATAGTTTTGCGCAAAAAATAATCGATGGATATTATGTTGATTTTATTTAAAGTCCATTGTTTTTTTATTAGAAATTTTTTTATCAAAAGATCTACACAGTTCATCCCTGCGTTTTTACACTTTTTTTAGTAGTGTATGTATTTAGAAAAAGAAAACTTATTTAACTTCCGTTTAATTATAGATTTTGATTTCTTTTTAATTTAAAAAAGAATGAAAATGTCATTCGTACATGAAATTTGATAAGTTTTTGAAAAATAATAATTCAAGTTTCAAAATATGTTTGAATAACTTTTGGGGTGAGAATTTTCTTCTACTAATGAAACATCAATTTTTTTCAAAATAAAATACATGTTCAAACATAATTCAATTTCCAAAAACTATTTTTAATACAACTTTAAATACACTATTTTTTAAAAAAATTCTTATAAATTTATAGTCAAACGTTAGCTTAATTACCTTTTCATTCTTGTCTTTTTGGAGACTAAAATAAGATGACAAAGCATTGCATGCTTATCTAAGGGAATATTTTAGATAAATAAAATGAGAAGTCAATTTTATATACTTCAATTGAATGGGATTCATATGTATATGATTCAACATAAAATAAATTGTTTGAATAAATAAATAAAATATTATATAAGCAAGTCGTTCCTCTCAACTTTTGGTACATGAAATTTGTTAAATAATACTAGCTCACTTGCTTATAGTATTTTAAGTATTGCACTTATATATGAATTAACTTAATTTTGTTTTCAAATATACTTTTGTCTAATAAATGATCTGAACAAATTATTAATTTTTTGTTGAATACTTTTTGAATTTTTCCTATGAGTAAATTAGGTAATTTAGTTAAATAACCCTCTTAATTTAATGTATGTTATTAAAAGATTTTCTTAATTCAAGATCTAAAATATCACATTATGTATGGGAGGGCGTAGTGATAAATTAAGTAGATCTCAATCTGTCTTCTAAAAATAGATTATTATTTTTTAATCGAAGGGAATATTTTTAGTGTTTGGTGGAAGGAGAATGTTTTCCACGAAAATGATTTCGTAGAAAATATTTTTCTGGAAAGTAAGTGTATTTCATACTTATGTTCTAGCTAGTGTCTGGTAAGTAAGTTAGAAAATATTATCCCAAGAGCATTCATATATGTTATCTATTGAAATACTATGGAGGCGGACTAGGATAGGAAGTAGAGGTTCAGGGGTGGTCAGTTATCGAACTCGTTTTCCCTTAGCTACTTCCATTAGGAAGTCAGTTTCCTCATCTTAAGGAACTTGTTTTCCTAGAGAAAAAATGTTTTCCAAACATATCAACCAGCCAAATATAGGTAAATTGGAAAACATTTTTTTGGTAAATGTTTTTCAATTTTCTCAAGTTTGATTGGTTAAATATTTTGTAAAATATATTTTCTAGGAAAACAAACTCCTTAAATATAAGGAAAATAAGTTCTCTAACGAAAGAAGGAAAAACAAGGTTTATAAGTGATATTTCAAGATCATTGTCTCCTCCCAACCCACCCAATATTATCAATCCCCACCCTTTACCATCCACCCAACCCCACCCCACCCCCGAAGCCCAACTCCCTACCCCATTTCCCTCACATAATGTATTGCTAGATTACATACAAGTACTTTTAGAATAATATTTTTTTACTTGCTTAACAAACCCTAAAAAAAAGATTAAGATCTATTTTGGAAAACTGAAGGGGATACAATGTTGGTATATCATTTATACATACTGTATCATTAAAAGAAGAAAAGAATAAAACATTATCATTAAAGCATTTAGGCCACTATTGACCCGAAGATCTATCAGAAACAACCTCCTATAAAGGTAGGAAAAAAATTTGTATACATTTTATCTTCTCCAATCCCCCCATTTGTAGAATTATACTGATATGTTGTTGGACCCTATTGTCCGGGATATCTAGTCAAGAGATAAACTTGTATACATGGAGAATTACTCCAAACATTTGAATGTGTCTTCAAGATCTCCATAGCTTTTTTCTTCAAATACTCACCACAACTAGCTTGAATCACCATACAAAGTTTTGACACAACTCCAACTCTCAACATTTCCATCAACACTTCTTTTGTGGCTGAACACCTTGAAATTGATCCAAAAATTTGAATTGCACAATCATCTGTGGATGAAGAAACCCTAAGTGTCCTTTTAGCAACAACACTAAGTCCACCAGCATGTTTCAAAAATTCAGCCCTACCATCAGCCAAAGTACACAAATGTGCTAGAACACAAAGTACCAACTCTGAAACCCTCTTTTCAGCGTTGCCTAATTCGAGCTCTATGAGCTCGAATATGGCTCCTGATTCGATGATCTTATGCTTGTTTCTTCCCCATGGACAAGCATTTATTAGAACTTGTAACGCGCCTTTTGTTGCTTGTTGAGAGATGTGATGTTCACTTTCTTTTCGTAAAGTATTCACCAATTCTTGAAAGAACTCAGGGTTTAGCCTTGATAGAAGATTTGAACTCAAGACTTCTGTTACATTTTTCAAGACCATCATTGCTTGAGTCTTGATAACAACTTGATTTTTGGTCATGTCACTCCTCAAGATCCATGAAATAGCTTCAATTAGATCGCGATTTTCCTTGACAAGTTGAATATTTTCAATTGTTGAGCTCCAAACAAGGTGGAAAATTCTTAAAGCCTCTTCAAGACCATTGATTAGTTTTCTTTCTTTAAAACTTTTTACTATAAAAGTAACCATAGCCTTAATTGCACCAACTTCCTCCAAACACTTCTTGTTCTTCTCATTATTCTCAATCACCAAAACATCAATTTTCCTCAATGCTTCAACACAAAGCTTATCATTATTCACCTGCAGTATAAGTTATATACACTGTCAGTATAAAGAATGTCTACACAACCATTTTAATTATATTTCACATGTTATACTAGATTGTTTAATCTATATTTAGGCTATCACATCATATATACTTGTTATATATACATACAATGAATTTAACTTTATATACATCGATAAATGTAAAGAATTTAACCAATTATAGCATGTTACATGAACCGTTATTACTTACCTAGCTATAACTATCTTTTAGATGACTTGATTGGAAAAAAATCTTTTAAAGATAAATAAACACATATCAGTGCATAAAATTTAAACTCATTTACCTGACGAACGAGTCGAAGAATGTGAGATTTGTTCAAAGGATATTTAGGGGTTGGTATTCTATCAATCCCCTTACTTGCATTAGCAATACACCAAGCTTGAATAATTCGTCTTAGCATATGATTTGGTGTCAACAACTCGATGTCTCTAGGCAAAATTTGCTTTGTCACCGGACATGTGGTTGTCATGGCTTCTTCCTCAGCCGTTAACAACCACATCTCGATGCTTTCTCGATCATATGTTATTCCGGTCACCGTTGTCACCGGATCTTTCATGATCATAAGTGATATAGGACATAAAAAATATTGAGGTATCTCTACTTCATCCATACTTTTTTTTTTTGCAAACCAAAAAACAAGAACCTAAGTAAATATGAAGAAGAATATGAGTATTTATATTAATGAAAGTGGTAAAAAATAGCGGCTAATAAATGTGTGAAGTTTGAATGGAGAATACAAAAGAGGAAGAATAATAAAGACTCATTATATAGTCAAAGCAAATCATATTATTATTTTATTATGATTAGAAATATTCCTTATTTGTTTGGATTATTGGTCAAAGTTTGAATGAGGTGGGTCCACTTATGAGTAAGCAAATGAGAAATATAAAATCTTTTTTTTTGGTATGTTGACTTTTTAATATTTGCCTTATGGAAGGTAGATCATATATATAATGATATAAAAGGTAAAATAATTATTATATTGATTTAGATTCTATGTATTATGTGTTTATACTGTCAATAAATAATGAATATTTTTGGTAAAATAATAATGATGAATTAAATGAATTAGTAAAATATTTGGTCAAAGCAAAAGCGTTTATAAATGAAAAAATTATAATCTTAATCAAACACTCTCTATCTGTTGTAACTTTTTTTTTTTATTTATTAATTCTAATATTTATTATAAACATTACTTATAATTGATTAACTTTTAAATATGATATAATATATAAACATGTTCTTTAACTTTGCTTCAATTGACGTTTATATCCTTTAAATTTTATTTATTTTCTTAAAGTCACATTCAAGATGAAGGTTAAACATGACCCCTACATCGCGTATATATATTAATAAACCAATAATAAAACACATGTACAAGAGATATTAAATGCTTCCCTTTTCGAAAGTTTCAAGATTATACATGCCCAATAATTTATAAAAATACAATTAACTTCTAATTAAGTCATAATTTTCTCAAAATGTAAATGCATAAAGTATACTAAAGGATTATAAATGAAGTTTTCCCTCCTTTCAATTCCAGAAAGTTAAAACAGAGGAATAAATAATAACCAAATCACATCTATATTAGTAGACACTTAAATTTGTATAGATTTTTTTTTTTAAAAAAAAAAAAACTAAAGATAGTCAATGAATAATCCATTAATTAATAGAAGGATAATTTTGGAGAAAAACTAATTAATACATCTTTGAATTTTGAAAAATTCATTCATTTTAAACAATAGAAAAGATTCAGAAATTCATTTATATTAAAATTGAGAGAGTACATAACATAGACGTTATAAAATTTGAAAAGTTCAAACACGTGAGTTTTGATTGATGTTAATGTTATGATTGTTCAAATATAAATAAGATTAACTTATATTTGTTCTTAAATATATTGCATATTTATTGATTAAAAAATAAGGATAAATTAGTAATGGATTTTTTTAAGTATATTTCTTTTCTATTACAATTAATTGTCTAATATATATACTTCTATCTTCTTACTATCTTATTATTCGTTATGTCATCATAAATAGCGTTTTTACTTTCTTTGAATCGATGGTCTATTGACCGAAACAATCTCTTTTTCTGACAAGATAGAAATAAAGTTTATGTACATTCTATTCTATACTATCCTGTTTAAATTTCACTTATAAAATTATACTTGATATATTATTATCGTGACAAAAAAAGAAGAAGCATGATAATCAATATGAACCTACAATAAATTTGTGTTTTTTTCTTCTCCCTTCTGGATGTTTGAAGTGTTTTATTCAAATGGTTAATTATAACTTGTGATACACGAAAAGATACCCACTGTGTTTATGCATGCAATGGGTAATACCGCAATATTAGTGTTTTCTTTTTTCCATTAAAACATAAAAGTTTTTGTCAAAATGGGAAAAAGAAAAAAGAGAGGTTTTACTTTATGATTTTAATTCATTTTGGCCACATTATATTAATTACTTTCTTTGTAAGTCTAATTTGATGAATTATAAAACATTGGCTGGCTGTTCAATTACACACTTTATCGTGATAAACATTAAACCAAAAAAAGAGGGGTACCTCATTTTCATATGTATGATCAATTGATAACGTATTCGGCCAGAAGAAAAATATTTTTTAGAAAAATAAGAGAGTTTTTTTTTCTTTTTCTACCAACATATCCTTAATGTAGCTAAGCCTTTTTTTCCTTTTAAAAAGGATTGTAAGATAACTAATTTAGAACCGAAGAAATATTACTTTTTGTGTAGCTTTGAAATATGCACTACATGTTATTTATAGATATTTAAAGAATCTATACTTGAAATTTATAATCAAATAATTTTAATTCTTGTACTCCGAATTTCTTCATATAAATTAAAATAGAGGGAGTAGTTTTTATACACAAACAAGATTTTCTAGTGGATGTTTTCTTGATTTGCCATCTTTTCATGATTCTCTTAAAATCGTATATAAATCTATTTCCAATAAACAATATCCAACACAATTTTATAAGTGGAGTTTGGTGAGAGTAGTATGTACGCAAATTTTACTCTTATATTTATGAGTTATAGAGATGGTTTTTAATAGATCCTCGACTCAAAAGACATATTTCAGAAACAGATTTGCAAGAATAATATGACAATAAAATAGAAAGATAAAACACAAATGAGATAACAAGTAATACTGCACACCAAAGAATAAGATACTACACACACCTGCTAATTAGTATCACATACCTCTCGCACATAAAATGTGATAATACTCGACTAATTATTAGTCTTATATCCTATTTGTTTTATCTAGAGTCGTGTCTTTGATAAGACATGGATAACATAAAAAATAAACTAATGGTGTGAGTAAAGTAAATTTTCTCATATTGGTATATATATATCCCATAGAAAAAAAATACATAAAAGACTAGCTAGATTAAAATTTTATCAAAATTCAATCCTAAAAAATTACACTATTGAAAAGGCTAGCATATGTTTACACAATAGATTAATTTTTTATCAAAAAAAATTCTATCCTGAAAAACTTACACTATTGAAAAGTCTTTACACGTTTTTGCACAAAACTTCAGTAAATTAAGTTAGACTTTAATTTTGAATATATACATTTGAAAATTATGACGTCAATAATTATAGTCTTTAAGTCAAGCAATAAATGTATAGCAACTAAGTTTTTTTTTTGACTTAGACACATTCTAGATCATTTGAACGTCATGAGAGAGGCACATCCATAGACTAAGGACTAATTGATATTCCTTCCGTTCACTTTTACCTGTTATTATTTGATTAGATATATTAATTAAGAAAATAGTTATTAATATACATATTTTATTAAACTATCCTTATTAAATAATGTTTAGTATTAGATATTGAGAAATAATTTGAAAAATAAGTATTTAATGTTGAGGGTAAAACAAGGAAATAATAATTGTCTTTTCTTGATATATCAAAGGTGACAAATAAAAATGAAAACTATTTTAAGAAAAAGTGATAAATAAAATTGAATAGTAAGAGTACTTTATAATAAAATTATTGTAAGTTACTGTCACTTTACCCAAAAGAAGTAGATCTAAAATCTTAGTTTGAATAATCTGGAAGGGATTTTTTCCACAGCTAACAAACATAGCTATGGCTCTGTAAGTAGGATATGAGGATCATAGAATGTACGTAAATTTTATCTCATATATCTACTACTTTAAAAAAAATTCAATCAAGAAGAGTTTTGAAAAAAAAAACGAGTAAAATGAAAAAAACTACGATGAAAATTATATCAAGACAGAAAGATACTAACATAAAAATAATATCTACTAGAAAGTGAGAAATTACTCGACTATCTACTACGTGTCTATGATACTAATTCGATCTCCATGTTCGCATATTTAAATAGAGTAATGTCCTTGGTAAGCTAAAGATGTAACATATCTTGTCTAATCACCTTTTCCAAATTTTTTCTTGATCTATCTCTACTTTTCCTTATGCCTTTCACTGTCAATCTCTCGTATGTCCTAGCTCACTAGAGAATCTATGCTCCTCCTTTTTTCATATCCGAATTATTTCAATCTCACTTTTTGCATCTTGTCCACCAAGGAGAAGACTAATCCCATCTTGTCCCATATATCTCTGTTCCTTATAATGTTATCTCTCCTAGTCTACCCACACATACATCAATCTAAGCATCCTCATTTTCACTACCTTCATTTTCTGAATATGTGAGAGTTCTTAATTAACCAACACTTAATTCCATATGCGGCATCCTCGGTCCAATAATCACCTTGTAGAACTTACTTTTAAGTCTTGGTGACATGTTCTTATCACATATCCAAGACACATGTTGAGAGCCTCTATTTCATTCACCTAATTCCAATACGATGTGTGCCATTTACGCCGATTTCCTCATATAATTAAAAATACTTGAAGTTTCTGTCTTGAGGATTACTTGTATATAAATCTTTACCTCCCGATTTACTTCTTATGATGTGTCACTAAACTTGTACTCTATGTACTTTGTTTTGATGCTGCCCAACCTGAAAGCGTTTAGACTTTAAGGTCCTTCTCCGGACCTTCAGTTTATCCTTAACTCTGTCACATGTGTCTTGTCGATCAATATTATGGCACTCGTGAATAGCATACACCATGCTAGTTTTGAATATATCACATCAACTCATCCATCATTAGGGAAAATAGAAACTAGATAAGAATTGATTCAACTAGATGCTACCCCATTACAATTAGAAAGAATTTTGAGTCTCCTTCCATTGTATTTACTATATGGTGTCTCGGAAACATATCCTTTATCGTTTTAATGTATGCCACAAGTACACCCCTAAACTCAATCGACCTCCATAGAACTTCTTTTGGGACCTTGTTGTACGTGTGTTTTTCTAGTTTAATGAAACATATGCAAGATTTATTTTTTCTATCTCTGTATTGCTCCAAGAATTTCCTTATGAGATGATTGGCTTCTTTATTTAGTTAACCGCCCAATAGGAGTGTACATGGCTGGGTTGGTTTGGGTTTTTCAAATATCAAACCAAATCATTTGTGTCGGATTTTTAAATTTATAAACCAAATCAAACCAATAAAACTCGGGTTTTTCAACCTCGGGTTTTTT